GTTTCATGTGCTTGAAAACATCTGCTACCTTTCCCCTTCCTTTTGCCGTATAAAACTCCTGTCCCGGAAGCTGCTTGTAGTCGGCTTTGACGTAGGTTTCGTCGTCCATTACCACGCAGTCAAACTTCGTCAGCATCGTCGTGTACAGCCTCCGGGATCGCGCTTTGGCCGTCGTATTTTGTTCATCATCGCGATTTGGAGTCACTACCTTCTTGTAAGTCGATAGTCCGGCTCGTGTTTTGGCTCGATGCACGGTTGTAGACGATACACCCAGCTTATTTGCGGCATCTCGGAGAGAGAGGTTAGGGTTTCGCTTGAAACTACCGGCAACTCTCTTTGTCGTCTCAGCGGCTTCCGGTTTTCGATTTCCCCCCGATCCAGACTTCCTGGCTGTCGACAAACGTTCCCCAAACACTTTAATTACATTTGTAACGGTTGATTTGGCCACTTTTAGCGATTTTGCCAACTTTGCGTGCGAGTAGCTCGGATTTTCGCGATGCGCGAGCAAAATTTTGATACGCTGCTCTTCTTGCTTGGACGGCATTTTGACAACTGAAGAGTGAATTCCAAAATCAAAATAGGAGCAACATTCTACACACACACACCTTCAAAATGAGGGGTGTTCAGGTTTTTTAAATGCAAAATTGAAAGAAATACGTCAAGTTGATATTGACCAAATTTTGACCGTATCACCCTTTAAGTGGTAAAATTCATCGTGTGAAATTTGCCTGTCATAAAATTCGCCTTCCTGCCCACCATTTCGAGAGAGTCCGCCTTCTCATTGCCTGGGATTGAGCAATGTGAGGAGACTCATACAAAGGTAATCATATACGATCTTTCAACCAGCACACTCATCTGCTCCTTTACCTTTGAAAGGAAATAAGACCTTGTTTCATCGACCGAATAGCCTCGAGGGAACGTTTGATTGAATTGATTTTCTCGTTTCTTTCAACTGAATCTTATGTTAAAAGGGGCGACTAACATGTGTCGGTCTCAGGGAACCGAAATTTACAAGATTTTTTCGTAGTGTGCACACCTTGACCAGCAACTGCAGCACGGCCACTAAACTTGACATCACTCGCTCTCTCATGTATCATGTACCTCCTGTATACGTTCAAATGTGGCAGAGCCCGGCGCCGGTGGTTCGATCCTACACTAGGTTTTATTTATTAAAATTTGGGATTAGTCCGACCCAACATCGCTCTAGAGAAAAGTTTGTGATCTACATTTTTTGTCAATTTTCTAATGTCCATTGTATTGATCAATGCAAAACTTTTATTTTTATGAGCTTTTTTTAAAAAGAAAAAAAAAATAATTGATCAAAGTCATCTAGAGATATTTGAGTTTTTAACATTATTTTACTAAATTGGATTTGTTATGTAAACATGACCAGCTGTAAGCTCAAGAACAAAGGGGGTCAAAAGTGAACATATGAAAATGGATTAACCAGCTGGTTTTGAAAAAACTAGTCAAAAGTAAACATCTGAAGAAATGTCATGGAAACCAAGCGTTATATATGTTACGAGGTGGGATTGGTAAGAGCGAAATTGAAAGCGAAATTTGAGATTGACGAAATTAAAATCACTCAATTATAAATGAAGAAAAATTTCGCAATATTACAAAAAAAGAAAAAAATACCGTGTATTTTTTACGCAAAAATAAAATATTTTTCTCTAAAAATTTGTGTGAGACGTTATTGCGATCAGAAGTGACGTTTACGCCCTAAAATATATTTAAAAATATCGAAAAAAAATACATGATCCAAAATTGCAGAATTTTAGCAAATATATAAACGATTTGAATGATTGCCCATATCAAACAATGCAAAGTTTCATGCAAATCGGAGAAGGTCGAGTATTTTTTATTCATTTGGCGTGGCCACTTTTCAATTTAGAAATGAGAATCTGTAATTTCTGAAATAATGTACTAAGTGCCAGTTTTAGCACAAGTGATCCATTTTAGGCCCTACACGGATAGAAATCTCCTTACACCTTTTGGCAAATTTCTATTGTTGATTGTAACATGGCAGTGGATACCTACTGATTTGTAGTACCCATTGATACTAAAAATCAGCAGGTATCCACTGCCATGTAACTATTTGCAAGGTACCTAAATACAGGTAGATGTATGATATGATGTGTGGTTTTAGGTAGCATGCTAAAGAGTCTCGAGTATCCGTTTCCTCTATTAAGCAAATTTTGTTTATATAAACTTCCTCTGAAAATAAAATAATTTTCCTCCGTACAAAGACGGTTAAGCTTGAGATATGACCGAACTTTGTTTTTCCAAGTAGAATCCTCACGTTGCTTCAGAAGCCAGTTCTCTACAAGGCTGATGGCTTCCTTTAATGGTACACTCGGAAAAAAAGTGCTGTGACATCAAATGAAACCATGACTTCATCTTCCCGAATCTCTCCTGATGCCTGAAGTTGATTTGCGAATTCCTGTGTGCTGTTAACTGAGCGAGTGGTAAACAGTTTAGGCATATTTTGAAATTCCTTTACTAGCCATTTGACAAGCTAATGAGTGGGGGATCCTTCAGGTCATCACAATATTATGTTCAGTGAGCAAAATCGGTCGCTGCTAAGCCACCGAGCTCCTTTCATTACAACAAACCATTACGACTAACGATCGCTAAAGCCTGGCAACATTTGATTTGTTGATTTGTTTTCCGTTGATCTTGTTTTCCGTGTTGAGCACCAATGCTACCGATGCCAGGGAGGTAGCTCTCACACCTGGACCCTACTTATCGACCCATCAACTCATGAACCGGGGACCAACGGCTTTACTGCCCTCATTAGAGATGATCAGAGATGTTATGCCTCAGAACATATCGATGGTGCCGACTGGGATGAGAGGTAATCACGATTACCACTACACCACCGGTGCCGCTGAAAACCTGGCAACATGAAGCTATTCAAATGGAATCAATTTTTCTCGGGTGCCCATGATATTTTTTTTCCGTTTTTATACAAACAGAAAAATTTGATAACAGTTGATTTCAGCAATAGATGTCGCTGTAAAAATACATCAATTGAAAAAAAAACCAGGATGAGGAAAATGGTTTATGCTCCAAGATCGCATTAGATTGTCAAATTATATCTCATAATTTTGATAAATGTTTGAAGTTTTCGAAAATTATAAGGGACAATTTTCAAGATGTTGAGGCTAGGCCAATTTTTTACATTACTAAACTTTTAGAAATTTCAGATTATAAAAATTCTCAAATAAAAAAATGTATAGAGAATTTTGATCAGAACGCCAAATGCGTTTTGGGTAGAATGGTAGTCCTCTAAAATTCTCTATCTACTAGAGAGTCTCTAGATATAATTCTAAAGGAATTTAAAGGACAATCCCTAACAAATGTGTTTTTGACAACTCTGTCAATTTGAATGGATAGAGAAGATGAATGTATGCGTGACAATAGAAGCACGAGAATGCGTAAATTCTCATATAAGCAGAATTTAAAGGTTTTTTTTGCGGATAATTTTGAAGGAATACTGAGGAAGATTAACAAAATTTCTTCAAAAGGAATTCCGAAAAAATATCAAAGCAATCTAAGTGGAATAGCTGTATAATGAGAGAGAGAGAAGGATTAGTAATTTCCATTTAATTCCACTAGCCGAGTATTAGTACAAGACACTGAAGAAGTCTGCACATTGTAGACGAAATACGCGTATCTGTCAAGGATCAGCAAATAAGGTAGTGGAATTAAATGGAAATGACTAATCCTTTTTTCTCTCTTTATCAAAGCAATCGTTTTCTGGTTATATCTGAAGTTTGTATGGGAATTACTATGGTAAAACCAAGATTTTTGTTCATGTCTATCTAATAATTCACCATATCGGTCTGCTTCAAAAACTTTCAATTGTACTTGTAGGAAATTTTCCCAGCTACAACTTTGCTCAAGACCACTTTTTGATTAAATCCAAAGATCGAAAGTTATCAATGGTTCAATGCGCTGATGTCTTATGATCATGCTCAATCAACTGCTCAGCAGGCAACATTGGTGTTTCTGGGGCGTTGAATAGGACACAAAAATCATGGCTACCATGTCACACTGCAAAATACAGTGTTGCCTACAGAGCAGCTGCTTGATCATGTCATAAGTTTACCAATCTCTTAAATAATTAATAACTTTTTCCTGTCTTGAGCAAAGCTGTAGCTGAAAAAATGTTCTATAAGAATGGCTACCGAACTGTTACGCAGTTCAATATGGAAAAAGACTAGAAGGCAATGAACAAAAAGTTGAGATTTCCCATAGTAATTTACATGTAAACTTCAAATGGCTTGTGCGAAGTCTGTTTCTAACCAAATGAGTTGTAACTTTGGGTGGCTAATCAGGACCCGATTTGAAACCATTTAAGAACTGTGGAGCGAAGAAGTCAACTATTGCATCAGTCTACTATACAGTCAATAGTATAATAGTGTCCCAGATGTATGATCTGAAAAATGTATTGTCTGCCATTTGTGACCCCATATGCCCCAAAATCAATTTGCAAACAGATTCAAATTTTCTTTAAACATTGCTCTAATCCAACCATAAACGCTGATCCACAACAAACTACCACATGATGTATCTATCCCCAGAAATGACCTTTAATATTCTGTGCACCTGGCAGAGTGTCATTCACTGGCTGTCACACTTTGTTCACATTGTACAAAACATGAGAATCCATCTCGGTAAGTTCCCTGCAGCGATCGGTCAAATTACACCTACAGGCAATAGACGTGGCATTCTGGTGTTGGTGAAATGTATGCAAGTACTACAACCCAGCACATGGCGCTACGTGACCGGTATGCTGTGACGTCCGTCCGAAATGGATCCACACTGAATCTTGGTAGAATGTTTATCTCAAACCATCGCTACTCTCAAGATTGTGACTTTGGCTCTCTTTCTCAGTGGCATTTTGTCGCCACTGTCGGTGGTCAGAAGGACGCGTTTTTCCCGTTTATTAAAAGTAAAATCTGTGAAAAGTAATTTTAGTCTGTCGTTGTCGCTTGACCCATACGATTCACGCTCTCCCTCACGGAGGAAAGGTTTTCCTCGTTCATTTTTGTTTTACTTTTGCTAATTCCTCTTCCTGTGGTTATAATTTAAATCCCTCAAGCATATAGTTAGCATAATCGGTAGAGTACGCTGCTTGGTAGTAATTAGTTTTGGAATTTATCATTGTCCTAGTGCTTCAAGCATTTATTATTTGCAAATACCACCATCGCATCACGAGTTTCGCATAGAGCAAATATTTCGAACGAAAAAAAGTGCAATTATAATTAGAATTTGCGTAGCATAATAAGTTGCCTTTTGGAGAAAAATTAGCCGATGCAAATTTTGGCAGCGGAGCAGCTCGGTGTGTTATTAATAGAAAACCTAAGTTTAAATATACGTAATAGCCTTTACACGTTTGCTGACGCGTAAGGTTCGTTTTTCAATATCAAATCGTTGAATTGTCGAAGATCAGAGTGTCGCAGTGTTGATTCGTCAATTCAATCTGTTAATGACAATAGCGGTTGATCGAGTGATGAAATCATAACCATTTTTATTCTATTTTTATCAATTTTATAGAAGTGTGTACATTTTGATTTTTCTACGCTGAAACGAAAATAGCCAGTCTTTTGCGTAGCAAGCACTCTGAAGAGGAAGGTGAAAAGATAGAAGAAAAACCAAGTGGTCATGGGAGATCAAGTGAAGCGCAAGAATGTGACCAAAGTGTAAAAAAAAAAGATTAAAAATTTTCCATACTGTGAAGATAATCAGATTATGTAATAATTTTTGCCAAAACGAAGAATAGCGGCTGCAGTCAGAAAGTGAAACGAAAAGAAAGGTTAAATTGAGTGCACGTTAAACAATCAGTAATAACCTAGTCATTTCGGTCAGTGGTGCGCGAAAAGGAAAAATAGAGTGAAAATTGTCGAAACACTCGGTGGCCGGTATCTTTCACGGCAGCGAGGCGAGAAATAGAAATAGCGGTGAAAACTGAAAGTTTTTTTTTTGCTAGAAAAGCAGTTACTAGTGAACGGGAGGCAGGCATCTTCCATATTGGAAGCAAAAAGGCAGGAAAGAAAACAAAAGTGATCATCGGCTGCAGTTCCAGAAGGAAAAAAGCCTACTACCATTCACAATGGCAACGGTTAACAGTCGAATTGAGCCAACCGGTGGCAGTTTTGGGCCCCGGAAAACGTTGATCATAATGGTAACGGTGGTTGGATGTATTGCGATTCTGTGGCCTAAGGTTTTCTACCCAATGATGGTTGGCCCAACACAGACAAAGAGTGTGGTCAAGGATCATCGCGGATCAGGTGAGGATGGGATCGCTTTCTAGCTATAGTGACACATGGTTGCATAAGTTATTTGAAATTTGTTTTTTTTTTAATATATTCTGCATTCGTTTTGTTCTCGTCGTCATTTAATCGAATTCGGATAATATTGATATTATTAGTTGTAAGATGAGAGTAAGTACTTCTTATTTTTTCCATCCCTTAGAGTATAGTTTAAAATAAAATAAGAACATATTAAAAAAAACTTACGTGTGGTGACCGAAAGGATAAATAACACACACAAACAGTCATATTTTTTTTAAAGTATGCTTACAAAATGATACCCATTATTTTTCAGAGTAACCGTACACATTTAGCACTATCAAAACTTCAAAGATTATGTTTTTTTCCTTCTTACAAACCGCTTGCTTGCTTGAAAATGCGAGGCCTGTAGGGCTGACCTTCAAATACCCATCGACTCATCTCCACGAGATCGGGATAGGTAATTTGTATAACCTTTTTTTAATGGAAAACACTGAACGTAATTTGACAACAAGAGCCAAATGAATGGCATTAAAAAAAATTTGGAATCGGTTAACTGATTCCGGAGATATGGATGGAACATGTTCCGGTTAGTATGGGTCTTTAGACTTAGGGCGACCAGAAACGTGCAAAACCCATAATGTGGCACATCAAATCACATGATAATTCGAAAACAAAATCAGGGGCTGTCATACTTAGAGCTTAGGGCCACATTGGTTATATCCGGATGTTCCAGGTGCCCCTGCTTAAGTAAAAATGAGTCACTTAAGCCAAAACCAACCATGCGATACACAGTTCGAAAAAGTAGTGTAAATTTCTGTTCAATATGATGCACATAAAGGGAGCGTCCCATATCATAAAGGGTGATACGGACAAAATTTGGTCAATATCAACTTGACGTATTTCTTTCAATTTTGCATTTAAAAAACCTGAACACCCCTCATTTTGAAGGTGTGTGTGTGTAGAATGTTGCTCCTATTTTGATTTTGGAATTCACTCTTCAGTTGTCAAAATGCCGTCCAAGCAAGAAGAGCAGCGTATCAAAATTTTGCTCGCGCATCGCGAAAATCCGAGCTACTCGCACGCAAAGTTGGCAAAATCGCTAAAAGTTGCCAAATCAACCGTTACAAATGTAATTAAAGTGTTTGGGGAACGTTTGTCGACAGCCAGGAAGTCTGGATCGGGGGGAAATCGAAAACCGGAAGCCGCTGAGACGACAAAGAGAGTTGCTGGTAGTTTCAAGCGAAACCCTAACCTCTCTCTCCGAGATGCCGCAAATAAGCTGGGTGTATCGTCTACAACCGTGCATCGAGCCAAAACACGAGCCGGACTATCGACTTACAAGAAGGTAGTGACTCCAAATCGCGATGATGAACAAAATACGACGGCCAAAGCGCGATCCCGGAGGCTGTACACGACGATGCTGACGAAGTTTGACTGCGTGGTAATGGACGACGAAACCTACGTCAAAGCCGACTACAAGCAGCTTCCGGGACAGGAGTTTTATACGGCAAAAGGAAGGGGAAAGGTAGCAGATGTTTTCAAGCACATGAAACTGTCAAAGTTCGCAAAGAAATATCTGGTTTGGCAAGCCATCTGTACCTGTGGCTTGAAAAGCAGCATTTTCATAGCTTCCGGGACTGTCAACCAAGAAATTTACGTGAAAGAGTGTTTGAATAAACGTCTGCTGCCTTTCCTGAAGAAACACGGTTGTTCCGTACTGTTTTGGCCGGATTTGGCATCTTGCCATTACGGTAAAAAGGCCATGGAGTGGTACGCCGCCAACAACGTGCAGGTGGTTCCCAAGGACAAGAACCCTCCCAACACGCCAGAGCTCCGCCCAATTGAGAAATACTGGGCTATTGTCAAGCGGAACCTAAAGAAGACCAAAAAAACTGCTAAGGGCGAGCAGCAGTTCAAGGCAAACTGGCTTTCTGCGGCGAAGAAGGTGGACAAGGTGGCTGTACAAAATCTGATGGCAGGGGTCAAGCGTAAGGCCCGGCAATTCGGATTTGGAAAAGCGGAAGCCTAACTGAATATTTTTCCTGAATTTTATACTAATTGAACTTGAAAAAGAAATTTAATTTGATTTTTTAAATAAACGATTTCACCGATTTACACGCGTTTTCCCTTGACCAAATTTTGACCGCATCACCCTTTATACGTTTACATTATATATCATATAAAGTTCCGACACATTTCATGCATTGTAGCAAATATTATATACAAAAGCCCATCATTGTTTGCAAGTTGTTCGGTTGCGTAAATAAAAGTCTACGTGATTGAATGTTTACATCACAATTAAAATTCAGAATTTTTATCTGTGTGCATTAAATCACTTGAGAATTCAAATTATGATCATTGGTAGTCATGTTGAGTGTTCCCGACTATATTGGCCACAACCGGACATGTTCCGGGTGGCCCCAAGCATGTGGCCAAATTATGGCTCGAGTCAAAATCCATCTCGCGACCTACAAAATTACATGAGAACTGAAAACTGGACATATTCTGGGTGTCCCCAGCGAAGTGGTTAGTTTATGACTTGAGTTAAAACCCGTCATGCATGAGGCTAAAATTATGAAATGAGTCAATGAATACACACTTAGAAATAACTACATTTACACGAGACGTAATCCATATTGGACTTAAATCATGGAACGTAAACAAACATTTTATGTAAAATTAAGTGTTCTCAAATCGAAAGATAAGCAGCGAGACGAAGAGAACGTTTGATTGAATTGAATTTCTCGTTTATTTCAACTGATTCTTATGTCAAAAGAGCCGCTTTCATGTGTCGGTCTCAGGGAACCGACATTTATACGACTTTTTCGTAGTGTGTATCCAAGATCATATCAGGCGTAACATTTGATAACGGCATAAAAGCTTTTGTTAACAAACTTTGTAAGGCCCTTTGCACGCGAACCAAAGTACGCCTACGCAATTTTGACATAAACTTGAGTTATAAAAAACGTGAAATATAGCTCAATCAAACGTAATTTGCGTCGAGCAACGAAATTTTCAGTCTTGGAGCACTTAATATTACGTGTAAAATTTGTTATTTTTAAGTGTGTAGCTTCTTCGCCATCCTTCCGAATTGCGTTTCAAACGGCTCCGATGCTTACACCTTCCTCCTTTACCTCAATTTTCAATACGAAAATGATAAACTTTGAATTACTTATTAGCTTGCTTTTATTCCCAGCTCACCCCATACAAAAGTATCGAAAACTTATTTCGAACATTGGGGGTGCAAAACCACTTTTTACGAATACTTTTAGGGAGCTAACCAAAAGTTCCCCCCCTAATTTAGCGCCTATGTATCATAATTGATGAAATTTCAATTTTTGGCTCTATTTTTAATGCTGATTACGAATTTGAAATTACCTCAATATCACTATATAAACCTAATTCTCCTAAAAATATTGATAGGGGAAATGACGGCTTCGGAAATTCTTTACCTATTATCGTCAGGGGATAAATGAAGTCTAAGAGTGATAATTTTTTGCAAAACGATGCTCTGGAACATGATTGAGCACTTAATTTACCCCCTGACGATAATAGGAAATTAGGTGCAAAAGCCGCCATTTCCCCTACCATTGCACCTCACAAATCTGAAGGACACTGCAATTGTATTAACTATAGATACTATCAACAATGAATTTTCCTATGTTTCGAGGGGTGAATCGATTAGCTTGGGACCGAAGATAGTACCAGAGCTGAGCCAAAAAGTAGAGCTCGTTTCTTCGGGACCTACTAGTCTTAGAGTTACCTCTATGATACTATAGCTTCCATAGATAAGCGGAGGGGAGGTAGAATGTACACGGAGATGGAAAACTATCCAAAATTAAGTACTTTTCCCTCAATTCCGGGGTTCAGCTCAATAACCCAAATTTGAGTAAGTCGCATAGTAGTTTCCATTTAACACCAGCAAAAAAAATACCTACTTTTAAGTATATTTTACCCAAAATTAAGTTTAATTCACGTAAATTTGAGAATATGCAATTGACTCAGAAGTAACTTATTAGGCTGAACTATATCGTTGGGTCGAATCTCTTGTTCCTTTTTTGACAACAATAACGAGTGCAAGTGAGGGGCTCAGCTCAATATTAAGTAAAAAGAACTCCAATTTTGGGTAGTACTTTTTCTCCGTGTAGTCAAACGAACTGTCAGTTGGTTACACTAACGAGCATGACGTCAGAATGGTGTATTTTTGCGGAAAAAGTATTGTAATATTATGAGCAAAATTATTATTTATTTTCATTTAATTATAAGTTTCATCTTGAGTAATAAATTAATTGAGTAAATTAAAAATCGAAAGGATGATTCACCATACCCGACAATTTTACGCTGCAAATACGGTGCTGCCCAGTTCGGTGGAAATCTGCTGGAAGACCACAAAACGCTTTCCACACTCCACATTCCGATTTATTTCGCGGAAACGGAAGAAGGAAATATTACGCAAACCACTCCTCGATTCATTATTGCAAAGATTTGCATTGCACTTAATTTTGAACTTTTGCGCTCGAAGCAAAGCAAAACAAAACAAAACTGCACAACGAAAAGCTCTTTGATGGTATAAATATTTTTCACGGATGGCAGCCTAAGAGCATTTATTTTTCATGGTTACTAAAAACACTTTTTGTGCCTTGGAATCTTTAGTATCTATAGTATTACCGGGGTTCATTTTTAAGTTGAACTTCTAGAAACCCTACGTGCGTCATAAAGACAATAATGTTGTGGTCATATATGCTGTTCTGTTTTGATTTTTGTTTTTTAGTTTTGCATTAGGTTTGTTTCCGTACTTACTTTTTTGCTTCTGCTGTTAGTTGCTCTGGGAAAATAATAAAGGAATCCCTGATTTGCGCGATGGGTGGTGCCGTCTACCTACCGCCATTTCTCAGATATTTTTCAACCAATTGAGCTGATTTTTTGTATGTGATTAGGGCCAATCACAAAATTGACACTCACAAAAAGTCAGCTCAATTGGTTGAAAGACTGTTGAA